CTTTGCATAAAACCATGTAGCAAATAAGCATGTTAAGAAGGACTAGAAAGAAAAAATAATGTCAAAGTGCACATTGTTGGGAGGCAAAGGACAGCTGCCTGCTGAAAACAATGCTGGAGACTGAGAAGCACAAAGAAGGAAAACAAAACCATCTGTGTGAGAGGCATCTGGGTCGATTTAGTAAAGAGGCAAAGCAACACATACCCACAGATGCTTAGGCATCAGCATTCATACACAGGTAGGTACAATGATGCAGTGGACATTCTACAGTCCTGAGCCAAGCAAGAGACTCCTGTTCTGTGGAGCTTAGGACAGAGATGCAAAAAAAATACATGAAAGAAATAAGCACACAGGTAAACAATAAAAATGTGTGTTTTCAATGATACAGTTAAATAATGTTGTTAAGTGGGATAAACTGGCCCATATATCTGCCTAGGAAAGTCTTCCTTGGAATTCGTTGAGCCTGCCTCTTATGTTAGAGAATGATGGCAGGACTGCAAAGTGAAAAATAGTAGTGCCCAGGGCAGAGAGAAGCACAGATTACACAGAATTCAAAGGTCAGTAACTAGCCCATAAGCATATTCTGTTTCACTCACCAGGAAAAGTTGAAATTGTGTTCAATATATGATGATTAATTGGAAAACAGGAGATGGGTGTGGTGGGGATATCTGTAATTCTAGCACTTGGAAGAACGAGGCAGGAGGATCACCAGTTCCAGGCCACAGCATAGGCTGTATAAGAAAACCCGGTGGTACACACACACACACACACACACACACACAGAGAGAGAGAGAGAGAGAGAGAGAGAGAGAGACAGAGACAGAGACAGAGACAGAGAGAGAGACAGAGACAGAGAGACAGAGACAGAGAGAACAAAAAGAAGACAGGAGAAGGAAGGGAGGGAGGGAGGGAGAGAGAAAAAGAGAGAGGGAAGGAAGGGAGGGAGGAAAAAGGAAGGAAGGAACAAAAGAAAGGAGGGAGGAACAGAGGCAGGGAGGGAGGGAGGGAGGGAAGGAGGGAGGGAGGGAGGGAGGGAGGGAGGGGAGCCAGTGTGTAGCCCTGTGATAGTGTGTGAGCTTAGCATGTACACGGTCATGAGTTATAGCCCCAGAAACACCAAGACAGAAGAAAAACAGCTTGTTATTCAGCTTTAGTTTTTTTCACTTAAAAATAAAGTGGCTTATTACTGAAAGTATTTGATCAATTCACTGATGATTGTACATGCTATTAAAAATGCTCTACCACTGACCTATGTCTCCAGCTTCTAAATGTGAGTTTGATAAAAAGTCATTCTCCACAGAATTATAAGCATTTCCAGTTATGAAGCACTACACTGATTTCTAGAGACATCAATATGAATAAAAATGAGAATAAAAAAATTAAAGTAGACTAGTCTGTTCTATGCTGCCTTGGAGCTAGAAGAAGGTCGGGGAAGGGATTACATTAAGCATAATCACAAACACCTAGTGGTGAGTAGAGGTGAAGGAGACTATGGGAACACTAATGAAAGGAAATATTAATATAATCAGAACTGAATCACCCTGAAAATTCTTGTGTGTCTTGTCTGTCATCTCCAGATGATACAAACAAGTGAACCATGATGACCGAAGCATGATACAACCAGAAAACCTAAACTCTGGCAGATCTCCAATAGGGTCATTTAATAGATTTTGAAATTCATCGGCCTGTCTAAAAAACTGAAAATTAAGCCATTTTCACTATGCTCAGGCAATTGACTGTCCTGTTATATAAATTTGAGAATGAATGGTCCTTAAACTACCCCTTTGAGAATTAAAAAGTATTTAAAGAAAGCACTGGGTTAGAACCAAATATATACACAGGCTCAATTCAGATGAAGAAGCAGAAAACACACATTCTTACTGCCACTCATTTGGTTTTCTTTTTGTTTCTCTGAGTTGGGGACTGGATGTGGAGTCCAGACGACTCTTGAATTCCCAGTCTGCATCCTGAATACAGAGGTGTGCCACCAACTGAGTCACATGACTCCTCACAATAAGCAACTGTGCTTAGCCTTTTCCTTAACTGTAGTTTACTCCCTTGCAATAAAACAGAAGCAGGAGACTTGAATCTTTGTGTTAGTTCTGCCAACAACTAGTTGTGCAAGCATGAGCTGCTACATTTTCACACACAAGTCAACACTGACCAACAGTCATTCTAAGAAAAGCAGGAGAGGGGAAACTCACATTAACAATTTTCCAGGCCATAGTATTTCAAATTTTATAAACAATACCTCCAATTTACTGAAAATGACTGTAATACCTGGTAATTATGAAGCTACACAGAGCGGCCTACAAAATAGCTTTGGCATCTGGAGAAGACAAGTCTCAGAAGTAGGAAACACAAATACAAAAGTCACATTGGCTGCTATTCAGGAAATGTATGCCATTGTCTTGGATATAGAAAACAAAGGACAACCTTGTTCATCATTATGAGAATAAATGAAATGTGTATATTTGTAGCATGAATTCTATTTGGTCTTAGTAATAAGAACCCCAAGTCAGATATAGGGGTAAATGCTGAAAGATCAGAGAAGCAGAGTAGCCAGCTACTAGTTCTTACCTCTACTGAATCCTCAGACTGAATGGGCAATACTGTCTCTATGGATCCTCAGACTGAATGCAATGAGCTCCTGTCTACGCCAACCTTATATTCCTCCCTAGGGCTGACTTCTATGTCTAACTAGTGTGGCTAGCTCTGCACTCTGATCTTCAGGCAAGATATATATGTTATAACACAAAGTATCACCTTATTTCTAGAACATATCTTTGCTCAACTTTGTCATTTTTACTCAGTTTTCAATAAAATTGCTTAAAGTGGATACAGAGTCACATATGGATGCCAAACGAGAGTTTGGTAATTTTTAAAAGTTGGATATAGTTTTGTCCCTGAATCCAAATTACTGGCACAGTAATTACACACGGTGCTACATAATAATTCTAAGCATAATTGCAGTGAGATTTCCATGACATGCATTGCTCTCCATCTCCAGCATAATTATTATGCACAGATGATGATGCTTCATCTTCCTATTCTCCAGTATGGCCTTAAGGTGCACACATTTTTGAATATACAGTGTCTGTAACACCTGTCTCGCTGAAGGATCTCAACAAGTGAATGATAATGACAATACCAATATTAACGTAATGACCCTAAGTTCTGGAAATCCAAGCCCACATTACCTCTTAGTTCATTTTATAAAACTAAAAATGGGGGTGAAAGGACAGCTTTGTGACTTCCCTGTGACCAAAATAACTGTACTCTTGCCTGTTGTACCCATCTCTTCTGCTATCAGTGAGAGTGTCTACTTCCTCATGCAGGGCACAGGAGCCCTGTACCGTATAGAGATATCTTCCCAGCTTTTCAATGGGAAGGAGCGCACATCATGCCCTTTGTTCAAGGCCATGGTCTTCTGGACTGTGTGGGAAAACACAGCTGCAAGTAACCTCAGTCTCATCTTCCTTCCTTTCCAGACTGTGTCATGGGACTGCCACAAAGGTGAATGCCATTGCCTTTCCTAAACACAAAAGCATAATGCATGCATTTTGACAGAAAGAAGAAAAATGGATGAATCAGGACTCGTGTGAAGGGCTCTTAATTTTTGGGATAATTAATGTGCATGTCAGACTATGGTGTCTGAGCCAAATAAGAGGTGAGACATCCTTCAAAGGATTCCTTTGTAGATTTGATTAACACCTGTGATCAGCTGACTCTGGTTTAAGTAGAGCAGATCACTCTCCATAAATGGGTGGGTCTCGTTCAATAATGTAAAGACCTTAGAGCAAGGACGGGGTTCCTAAGAAAGACTTTTGCCACACTATGTAAAAGCTTGATGGGAGTGTCCATCCTGCCAGGCTCCTCAACAGACTTCAGACACCTAGACCCACAATTACCTGAGATAAATCCTTAAACTCAATAGACAGACATACAGACAGATAAATGGCAGTCATAGATATGTAGCATATATATTCATATATATACATTCATGTATATACATTCATATATATACACATATACATTCATATATATACACATACATTCATATATATATTCTCTTTCAGCCCCAGCTTCCACACCTATGGTTTCATCAAGCTTTGAGCTATAAATACTCAGATACTCAGGAGAGCAACGTGCTTCTCCCAACCATGCCCACACTTCTCATTCTTCTTGGCAGTCTGTAAACAATGCAGCATAGCAATCATTTAAATACTATTTGCATACTTATTAGGTATTATGAGAAATCTAGACATGGCCTAAAGTATAAAGATTTGTGTGATCAGGTTCTATGCAAATGTTACAGCACTCTGTTTAAGAGATTTCAGAATCTTAGGAATTGGCTACCTATGGGAGCTTCTGGAACCAATCCATCAAGCATACAGGAAAAGAGATATTCAATTGGTTCTGCTCTGTAGAACTCTGGCTAGTATTATTTTATTCAAAACACACAAATGAGGATTCCTTTCACAACAATACATTTGACTCTTTGTAAGGTATTGATAGTTTGTACTGATCTTTCATTTAATTAACAAAAACAATGTTTTTAATATGATTTCCAGTTAACTCTATTGATGGCCAATCATTCTCAATGTAATTAAGTCACTTTTTATGAACAAAGTAGTATAATAAGATTTCTTGTGTAACAATTACAAAACAAAATTTACGTGGGATGTATACTACAGTATTTTAGCTAGCTATACTCAGGACACAGCTTTTTTTCATAAACATCACTGTCTTCGAGTTCAAAACTACATTTTAAATTATTTGCCTAAGTCTTGAATGAACCACAATAACTCCAACTTTAGATCAAAGCTGTATTCTAATTAAACTTATGAATGGTGTATTAAAATATTAATGTTTTACATTTAGCACATTAATATCACATAAAGCATTATAATTACAGATACCCAATTATTTTTAATTGTTTGTAAAACTTTTGGAGCCAGATCAGTCTTAGGAGGAACTCGGAGGTGAGGGCTACTTACTAATGGCAGAGTCGTAGGAAGTAGAGTTGTGCTCACCCCTCATGAAGGGGTATGGAGACAGGTAGGCATGTGTGCAGTTCTTGGATGGTGGCTGATTGGCTAGGAAAAAAGCAAAGGCATGGTATCTGTTACCAAAGATTCAGAGATGACTCATGCCTAATGAAACAGGAACCTACGAACCAGGGACACACACGCAAAACAAAACTGCTGGACTACCAACAAGCCCAGAGGGCTGCCAGAGAGGAAAACTCTGCTGGAAAACAGGGGAACAACTTGGAATGAGGGTTTTCTAAAGCAACTAGAACTCAATGGAAGAAACAGAAATTCCCACGGGGCCCAAAAGGACAGGCAAAAAGCTGTACCTGTTTTTATATATTATTTCTATCAACAGGATGCCTGGCACACAGGAAATATTTAAAAAATGGTTGTTTTAAAAGTATAGCAAAGTTAACATTTCTTCTAATGTTAGGGAAAAGTTACAGATGATGGAACACTAAAATTAAGAGTTCAAACAAAATTTCAGCATTTGAAAAAACCACAAGAATAACTTACATGCACTATGAAAACTTAAAATTTGTTCCCTGTACACTTAGATTTCAAAAGCTAAGTCTGTATTCTAACACTGGTCCTGAGGACAGACTATCTAGGAAGGACATGAAGGTACCAAAGACTTAAGCAATCCCATGACAAGTTGCAACACACAAAAAGAGCAAGGGGTGACAGGAGAATTTGAAAATAAGACAGTAATCTCAGCCTTCCCTAAGCCCTAGGCTAATAGCTAGTTCTTTTACTGTTGAAGAGAGTAAAATGACTGCTAGCTGTTTACAATGAATTGGTTCTCTAAGATAAATCCAGCGGAAGAAATACAGTTCAAGGAATGCATCATAGTCTTCAAGTTCCTGGACTTCAAAGGGAACTTTAAATTTCAGTATAAGAATACAAACATAAAAGGAAGACATTTCTTGATATTACCTACAAATTTGGGTGAAACCCAACTAAGGCGGCTCTCATCTGCTACCACTGGTAATTAAGTTTCATTACCAAAAAATAGATTAAAAACTTTTAAGCTATGAATATAAAATAATACCTCTATTTCTGGGCTTTTGTATTTGAAATTTCAGTTTATAGCCAAATGAATTTCCAAAACACTTATTTGAAACATACCAATAATAGACGCTTGAAAAGAAACTATCATAGACAAAATCATCTTTTTTTAAATTAGAGGCAGTATATTTTAAATATGGGCAGAGAAACAGCAGGTACTCCAGTTTTATTATAACTATTCAGACTCTTGCTTTTATGAGAGAAGAGAAATTATTGCTAGAGAAATTTCTCCTGTCAAGAATTCTGTTTGTGACCCTTTTGATGCCACAGTACTAAGACTTCACAATTAGGCACCCAGCCCACTTGAATGTAACAGGTACTAAATAAGATGTTTGCTTTTGCCTCAGACAAAGGTGGCAGAACAAGGCCAGCTGCACTTACTGTACCAGAACTTCCAGATGTTGGAATTGTTCTCTTCTACAATGCCACTGAACCAGCATCTCCAGAAAAATCCTTCGTGGTGAAAAGTGATATTCTCTATCTGCAAGAAAGACAAGTGACATGCTGTCAACCCCAAGAGTATAATCAAGTCTGCTGTATCTTAATGCCTGTGGTCCCCAATAATGATGACCGCTACGTCCCTACAGAGGTCTTCTATGAAGAAATAGACATCCCAATACTATTCTTCAAGACTATGCATAAGGCTGCCCCCATGGCTACCAAGTACAGCAATATTTTGAAGGAGAAACGCACATTCTGTTCACCTGAACACCTGCCCACTTCAGTCGCGAGAAGCCAATAATCCGATCCAAAAGCTACCAAAAACAGCAAAACCCCCAAAGCTCCGAAGAGAGCCCCAAAGAAAATGGCAACATTCAATCTCATTTTCCAATTGACTGATCTCCTTTCGAATAAAAGAATGAAGTGTGAACAGTCAACTTCTCAATAACAACAGCAAAGAAAGAATGCCACTCTTGAGTCGACAAGATCTCCGGAGTAGGTCCTCGCTTGAGCTGTGGTGGCTTCTCATTTCCAGTCTGTCCCTTTGCTCTCGCTGGAGGGGCTCCAACGCAGCAGCTGAGAATGGCTGGCTATTTTAGGATACTGATTGAGAAGCTTTCTTCTCCCATGGGGAATCAAAAAATAGCTGACCTTCCCCTGACTATAAAGAGATGAACCAGGCAGGAGCGGGCTGGGGTTATCGTCCTCACTTTGGGTAATCCATACAAGTGGAGGGGACAGAGAACCACGAGGAAGCCACTGGGTTCTGGCCTCCGGCTTGAGTGTCTGAACAGGCCCTTCTTAGGCTGAAACGGGCATGATAACCTCGAGAAACTTGAGAGGCTCTTGAAAATGTAAATTTCCACTACTTGGAGCCACAAAGAGCTCTCAAAAACAATGGAATTTGTGATCAATGTCTTAATTATTTGTGGACATTCAGGAGAAGAGGAAACCTAGGTTTGGTTCAGGTTCATAACTCATCCATTCAAATGGCATCCAAAAGATCATTTCTAGTCATAGCAGTAGAATTCCTGAAAGAACAAAATTAATGCTATTCAACATCTTGTAAGGACATAAACAATCTGTTTTTTGGTGGCTCAAACCAATTTGTTATAAATAAGTAGCCCAAAGCTGAATTGAAGTCTCACAAATATATTGTTTTCTGGATTTCTTTCTTTCTTCTTCATCTTTAATATCTGATTTTCTAAAAATGTAAAATATGACTGCTATTTATACTGACCGCACGAAAGAAACAGCTCATTCTTTTAGTCCTTGTCTCTATGAAGTTTATTTGTTTTGTTTTCATATCTAAATACATCAATGTCTTTAAAATGTATCCGAGTGCTGTTTATACTCCAGACTATCTATTTGGCTGCTGCCTCATTGCTTCTGGAGAAAAATATTGTCCCTTCAATCACCTAAGGAGGTATCTATGGACTTACAGCTTCCTTCACCCCTTTGATGATAAACCCTGATGGAACATGTGAGTGTAAAAAAAATCCTTAGAAAGGATGAAAAATCCTGAGTGGCTCTTCCTACTGGAACTGGAGGAATCCAAAGAACATGAAAAGCAGGTAGACTCATCCCAGAATCACTAACCAGAAGAGTCAAACTGAACTGAAAGCTCGTCTGAGCTGGACCTTGCTTAATGCTCCAAGTTATTTTTTGTTAAGTCTTCAGAACCATTCCACTGTGGCCTACCTTGCCTGTGCATCATCCAGGAGTATCGGTAAAGGCTGAACAGTTGGTTCTGCCATACATTCTGCCCAAAGCTGTAACTTAGTGTTTGCTGATAGCAGTCCCACTCTGCTCCCTGACATCATCACATAATGCAAATTAAAAACCCTCTGGTATGGGACAGAACTTCCGGATATTTTGTAATTATTGCTTTCCTCCTTAAACCATAGTCTCCACATGAACCCCATGTTCAGTCTTGTTTCTTCTAAGCCAATGGCTTGTCTCTTTAAGCAGCCTTAGATCACCACCGTTTCAAATATCTGCTTTGGTTATTCTCTACCCATTCCAAGCACACAGGTGAAGTATGGTGTGACAAAGTATACATAACGGCGGTTATCACCCGCCGTTGTCACCCAATGTGTCAATATGTTCTATTCGTCAGGCAGGTCCATCTGATCACAGAGCTCCTTGTATCCTTGCATGAACTGGAGGGAAACTCTCCTGGCATGAGCTTGCTGGAGGATTATGCATGCTGTCACAGCTGCTGAGTGTTCATATATGTGGCTGCCCCTAGTGTATCCAAAAACGTGGTCTTCTTGCAGTCACCCACCACCTCTGACTCTTACAGTCTTTCTGCCTGTTTCTTCCTCAATGATCACTGCGCTTCAGGAGGAGGGGCTTGTGATGTAGATATTCCATTCAGTGCTGTCACTTATTCTCAGCGCTTTAACTGGTTGTGGGTTTCTGTGCTACTAGCCATCTACTGTAAGAGAAGTTTCCCTGATGAGGTCTGAGAGCTATGTCCATCTATTGGTGGAGAGATAGGAATTGAAGGAGTGGTTTCACGCATTTAGTAACAGTAATATGTTCACTCTATGGCCCATGGGCTCCCTAACTGTGGGTTCTTGGCCAGATTTATAACACCTGGCATGGCTTCCTTATGTGGAGCTGGCCTATGAATCCAAGGAGAAAGCAGTATTGTCACCCTTTACCCTGCTGCAAACCCTGCAAGCTACAGTAAAAACTGACCTGTCGAGATATGCCTATAAGTACAGCAGTGGCCCAGTTAATGGTTCTTGGGTAACACTCTCCTCTCCACTGTGATAGGAATAAAAACACTGGAGTCTGAAAACCAAGGTAACTATTTGATGGAAATCAATTTGCAGAGGAAGACTGTGCCCTGGGCTTCACTTAAAGAACAGAGTAGGCATGAGAAGAGTCACCAGAATACAAAGGGAAGAGAGAGTACTATATAAAGGTTCTGTAAGGACTGCGTGCCTCCTGCCCAGTGCTTTTCTGGCCTCTTTCCTCAATCCACTAACCCACTCCTACTCTTTGGCGTGCTCTTTACTTTTTAATAAACTGTCTCTATTTCTAACCATATGTCCACAGTGCAGTCCCTCCCCTGGAATCAGGTGTTGTCTGAATTCAGTATGAACATCTTTTCCTTTTCCTTTCGTAATCTCTTTCTCGAGCACCAACATAGAGCCTGCTTTGAGATTTCTCAGTTTCTCCATGCCTAAATGGATTTTTCTCTACCCATCCCATGCCCCCAAGAAGATGCTTGAGTTTGCTTGCTTTATTGTTTTCCTCTGAGATTTAAAAAATTGTCCTTGACCATCTCTCTGATTCAATTTTAAAATTATTTTATTAGTGGGACTAAGTACTTGCAAAGGGACCTTGGTTTCCCCTGTACTAACACGACCATATCATACACATTTTGAAGTACTCTTTACTGATTGTCACACATAATAAAACAACAACAAATAAACTCTACACAGGCAAAACCCTGGGTTTGGCATGAAACTGTAAGAATTGCTCAGCAAATCCTTCACTATTAATCTTACTGATAGTGACTAGAATTGATTTGAGTGCTGCCATCTGCTGCTCCCAAGTGAATATTACATCCTTGTTGGGATCAGTGCTACATTTGAACAGAACTCCAGCAAGAATTCCGGACACTTTCACTTCAGTAATTCATGTTCTCTATTGAATTCCAATAGCTCACCCAAAATAAATTGCACTACAAAAGCACATTTCACGTTTTAAAAACAGTTAACTTTCTAGCAAGTATTGGAATGGTTAGGATCAGGGCTTGGGCCCTGGCAGCACTAACCAGCTGGGCCTTGCTACCAATCCTCAATAGGCCTATTATTCCTCAGGGTGGGATCTTCTAATGTGCACATCTTACAGCTCTTAGAACTCTCCTGGCTCATGAGTCATCTTTTTCTATAAAGATCTATTTACTTTTCTTAAGGTCCTAAGGTTCTTTTACTGGTGGAATCAGACCTACCAGTGAGTCCCTCAAAGGCAATACCTACCTACTACACTGGGTTGACTCTGTCCTTGCTGCTTTGTGCTCCCAGCAAGTTCCCAGCTAATTACATCATCTCACTGATTCTCACATGTTATCTACTCTTCCTTTAGACCATCAACATACTAAGCATATTTGTTTCCTGTTACCTATCAATTCCATGACCTTTGTCACTTCCAATTCTGACTCTAATGCTTGATGTTAAATCTCTTGTGTGATTCCTCTTGTCTTGCAGCAGACACTGTGGTTCCTGCAGAGGACTGGATGAAGTGGGCAACAGAACCTCAGGTGACTGGGTTTGTGCTGCAAGGTTCCATATTGATCTGGGTAGAAGCTAGGCAATTCCTAATATTTTCACTGAGGATGCCAGCGACTTTCTGGTTCCCTTTGTTTTTCACTCTACTGCAGTCTTACATTTCCCAGGAAACCCCTTCATAAGGAGAGTCTTTGCTTTATACTTCTCTCACTTATTCAGTCTTAATGCACTGGAGTCCAGCTGATATGTTCATGAGATTTTCAGGAAGGTAAATACTCTGTAATATCATAATTATGTTTCAGGGGATTAAAGTCCCTGGGTTTTGCCCTGAGAAACGTGTGAGTGTGAGTGTGTGTGTGTGTGTGTGTGTGTAGATGTATTTATGCTCCAGAGGGGCCATCCCTTGGCATGCCTTGGGTCTTGTACACCTTAACTTTTCAGACACTGTCTACTGGTCACCCAGAACTTACTGGGTAGGCTAGGCTGGGTGGCCAGCTCACCCCAGGGGTCTTCCAGTGTCTTATCTCTGCAGCACTGAGATTACAAGTGTTCACCACTAGAGCTAGAACTCAGGGGTCCTTAGTCTTGCTTACAAGCTCCTTACCAGCTGAGTGATCTCCCTTCCTCTTGTGTGAAAAGAAAGGTTAGAGAAAGCTCAAGCTGTGGGATTTCTTTTTCACTGGCTCTCACAGGGAGAGTAAACTTTGCTATGAAAAGAATTCCAGGCGTATTTCAAATAGTTAATTTACCCCTGGATGTGTTTTTATGTTTTTTGTTGTAGTTGTTTCCCAATTACAATCCCTCTCAAATTTCTGGCTGCCACTTCTTTAGTAACTTCTGAAAGTATTCAGTGTGTTTGAACGTACATGATTAAAGTGACCACTATATTTTAGATAACTTTTTTTAAGATTTATTTATTTATTACATATACAGTGCTCTGCCTACATGCCAGAAGAGGGCACCAGATTGAATTGTAGATGGTTGTGAGCCACCATGTGGTTGCTGGGAATTGAACTCAGGACCTCTGGAAGAGCAGTCAGTTCTCTTAACCTCTGAGCCATCTCTCCAGCCCTATTTTAGATAACTTATTGTGGCATTCCCATCTTGGCAAAGACCATTTCTCCTGTCCTCAGCACCCCTCAGTTGCCTGTACTTCATTGTCCAGGCCTATGATCTCCTCCATATCAGCATATCTACTATTGGTGTCCTTGCTCTGGGCTTGTTTGGGCAACCATATGTTTAAAGTGAGCTATCATAGTGCTTTCTTGTCAATTCTAGGATA